ACTGGGTTATACTATATTGTACAAAAAATCAGTATCTTTATATTCACCCAGCTAATTTTTTTTTAAAAAAAGAACGTTTTTGGTCTACTAAGACCTGCTACAGGTGAAAAATTTTAAAAAGAGATGGAACTTATAACATTTTGATGTTCTAAGAGCCGCTTCAAACTAGTGCTTTGTGAGAGCAAAACGCTAGCAAACGTGTACTAGCACATCCAATGATGTCAAAGGCTCCACTACTTTCTTTGTGGCTGTGTGGTTTTTTCCTTTGCTAGCGCAGCAATGTGAGTGTATGCTCGCTGTTGACAGAATTCATCAGATAGAGCAGTCACGCTAGCAAGAGAGAGTGGGGAAAATGGATGACATCATGAACATGTTGTAAAGCATTGAAAAAGAAATAATAGAATTTTATTGATGTTAGTAAATTACATGATTAATACATTCAGTATTGAAAAGAAAATAGTTTAAACATTGTATATAAATATTTTTGGCTAATTTTACCCAACTAGTTAGGTTTAACTAGTAGGCATGTTTTTCCCATGCTATACATTAAATCTGACTTACAGAACTTGTAACCAATGCGTATCCAATTGTTCATTTAACAACCAAATGTTTTCATAACCCCTTCTGGGTTCTTCATCAGGAGAACAGCTGGATCGAACAGCAAAAAACAAAGACATGATGTTTGAATAAATCCAAACTTCGTAAATTTTGAATCATTCTAGGAACAATTCAAAATTTACAAATGTTCGATCCAGCTGTTCTCTTGATGAAGAACCCAGAAGGGGTTATGAAAACGTTTGGTTGTTAAATGAACAATTGGATACGCATCGGTTACAGGTTCTGTAAGTCAGGTTTAATGTATTGTATACAACCCGATGTGCAGTTGATGATATATAATTTTCCCATGCTGTTTCCAATGAAGTCGGAACGAAAACTGACTGATTACAAGTATAGGTTATAATAAAATCTTTGTTCTATAGCCAGTCCACATCTGTGGAATCCAAGTCATGTGGATTATTACAAAAAGAACAAGAGGGATTTCACACTGACACAATTAAGAGAGCTTTTAGCTTTTGAACACAGAATCAACATCACTTGTAATTAATCCTGACCATGAATTTAATAACTGGCCTGGTGGCAACACTAGTTGCTAATCTCCCATGATGGAGCACTTTTATTCCAGCAAATGTTGTGTAGTTTGCAGCCGCTTCATGCCTGCATAGCTTACCTAGCAAAAATGGCTCATAGCCTCATGGGAAAAAAGGTGGGGCTTTGGAGCTTGACTGAGTGTACGCTAGCTCCTGCTTCCTGGAGTTTGTGGCAGCTCTAATATGTCAAATGCAGAAGAGCTCACAGGTAAATTCATATTTAAAATTTTATAAATTGACCAACAGGATGCATCCAAGTGTAAAAGTTCTACAAAATAACAAAATGAAACAAATTCTGCATCCAAGTAAGAGCTGCAAAGACAAGCCTTTGGCATGTGTAGAATTAGTAATGTGGTCCTTTTCTTGAAAAATTTGGGAATCCCTGCTGTAGAATATCAGCAAGTTCTAGATATGAGATATGCACCTAATGCCATTTGTAGAAAAATTGGAGGTAAGTTTTTCCAATTTCAACAATATAATGCAACTCGTTCATAAATCAAAATCAACTTGGGACTGATTTATGGCAAATGCTGTGCATGTTATTTATTGGCACATGTTCTCCTAATCTTAATTCTACAGAAAACATGTTTGGTATCTTAGCAAGGAAAGTGTAGAGGAATGGAAAGCAGTATACATCAGTGGAATCATTAAAAATTGCAATAACTGATGCTTGGCACAAGATCACAGATGAGAAGAGGAAAAATCTTATTAAAACAATGCCAGATAGAGTTTAAGAATAATTAATAAATGTGAGAGGCCAGATGAGATGAAATTTTTAGTTAATTACAACAAAATATATAATTTATTTAGACTAGCACTTAAATTTCACATACTATATAAAAGAAAATTTTTCCAACATTTAATAGAAAAAACTGGATGGATGTGATCGCATCCTTCCAATTTTTTATATTACATGTTGGAAAAATTTTCTTCCTTTCCTTTTCTTGGGGAAACTTCCTTTCCAAAGGCGACACATCTTCTGAATGTATGTGTTACCAGGAACTATCATCCTAAATTCATCTATTGGTTTAAACCCTAAACATTACCAAAAAAGGGCATCAAAATCAAGGGGGAGGACCCCCCGAAATAAAAAGATGAACATCGCAACTGACAAGGAGAGTTCGCCTATCCATATCTTTGTGCAGGTGTGTTCCGGCTGCGTTCCATTGCCGATCTTTTCATCCACCGTTGTTGCCAGACCTTAACTGTCTATTCCTACCGGACATTTGATCAATGACTCTACTCTATCTGGTGCTATCCAATCTAGCAGAAACCTCTTCTCCCCTTCGGCAAGACGATCTACTGCATCAGACAACTTACCAATCAAGGTATTTTGCATCACATGTAATATTGTAAGCTCTCTCGGCTAAGAACTCGCTAATGTAAAGACTCAATCGTGTTATGCTATTTAGCTTTGTCCAATTCAAGCTGCTCCTTGGAGCTAAGCAGAATTCTCTGTTACATGTAAATAGTTTATATAAATAAATGGGTATATTTCCAAACATTGCTAAACCTGATATATAACATAACTAAACACCAACCGTATGCTGAAAATCTAGCGTTGTAATAACCGTCGATGGTTATGTAGTTAGCTTATATACGCTGGAAGAGGAGATAGGACTAGAGGTCCGGATAGTGTAACTGGCAACCATCTGCACAGTAAGCAGGAGTTGTGGGTTTGAGTCCTGCTCCGGGCTGATTTTTTCTCCCAGCAGTTCTAAATTATTTAAATTAATTAATTTATTTATAATTATTAATATTAATAAGAGATGGCGCCTAACGCCTACCTCTAGAGCCAAATTGGTTACGTAATTAATTTAGTAATTAGCCTAAAACTAGCCCGATAGATTTTAGGCATACAGTTGGTGCTTGGGTATATTTCCTTTATAGAGAAAAGTGTGCACTGCTTTTGGCTGCATTGGCTCATGGTCGGTCTCCATCCTGGACTCCTAGTGTTTACATATGCGACTGCTTACGCATAATTGGAATAGCAGCCGAAGGTTTCTGTATCAACATTAAAGGATACAGTGGTGTCAGTCCTGACATAGGCATCACTGGTCTGCTGCCAACCCTCTGGTCACATAAACAAGGTGACCATATTTTGCTTATTAATAAATAAAATCACTAATTTAAATATTAATTAGTGGCTCTATCATTTTGAGACAAGTATATCCTATACAATATTGTTAAAATTCATTTTATATTCTTATTTTATTACTATTTTTGAAAAAATTATTATTATATGATATCATATACATTCTAATTGTCAAATTTCTTTTGATTGTTTTGTAATGTTCATGTTATTTCTTTAGTAATGTCATTATTTCACACTGGAATGGACTAAATGTATAAATCAGCAAGACTGATATGATGAAGTCGAATTTTGAAACTCCATCTGTAAACTGAGATATTAGATGTTGAAATTTGCCATGTAAAGTCTATGGTCCAATTACCATTTGTAAGCTGTGTCAATAGAGTTTATGATTGCTGTCAATTTACATCAATCTCCACGACAACTTTTTATTTTGATCTTTGCAATGGCCATTTAATATGCATAATGTCATGACAAAATTAATTTTTCAAAACATACACATGTGTTCTCTGGTTGCACATATGCATGTTTTAACCAGTTGCTGGATCTACATTTAGGTTGCTGACTGCACATTAGGTGTTTTGAATGTTTTTTGAAGTTTTTGTCAGTTATAACTGAACATTCACATTCTCCTTTGAACTTGCAGGTTTTAAACTGCTTTAGACAGAACCAGGGCTGCGGAGTTGGAGTTGTAGAGTTTTGCTGTTTTAGTCGGAGTCGTCAAAAAATCCGCCGACTCCGACTTCCTTTTACTTACCAACTTGTTATGTATATGAAACGGAGTCAGAGTTGGATGGTAAGGAAGAGTTGGAGTCGGTAGATTTTTACGTGACTCCATAGCCCTGGACAGAACATGTCACCAGATGTCTTTTCATATCAAGCTGAAAAAGTAAAAATTATGCTTCAAGCTTACTTTTATTTTCCCAAAAAATACTTTGTTAATAAAATATTTTTTAACTAATTGATGGTCACTTTAACTTGAGTTTTCATGATTTAAAAATGAAATTATGCTATTTTGTTACATCTTGTGAACTGATAATCATACCCATGATTAATAATGTATTTATTTGTATTTTTATGGTAAAATATAAAATACCAAAATGTGGACTAATTTGAAAACATTGAATCTTTGTCAAAAAATCCAAATTGCAGGGTGGTTATAAAACTATTTTAAATTTTCATGCCATGCCAATATACAAACAGTAGAGGAAAATTTACATTAAAAAAAGATATTTTAACATATTTTTACTTAAGGCATTGTTTAAGTACAAACCATTAAAAATTTGTTTTCAACATTATCAAAAGAAATATGGTAATAAATTATATAATGAAAAATATCTGATAAAGCACTTTTTTTAACTAATGAATCATTTTAAAAAAAGATATAAAAAATAGATTGAGTTAATTGTTATTAAAATACATAAATAAATAAATTATTGGTGTATTTTGCTAATCAAATGATACAGCTGATTCATATTGGACTATAGTAAGGCTAATTAAATTAATTAAGAGAATAAACAATTTGGACAAGAGGTAGATGGTTAAGCTATCATCTTGTGTTAAATTTAATAATTAGAAATAAATTTGAATTTATCTGAAAAATCTTACTTTTAACCTTGTGTAAAAAATTTTATCATATTTACTTTAGTTGATGAGGATGTGAAAAATAAAATTTAGAGTAATAGGCTTTGTTTCAATAATAAAAGTAAAAGTGAAAGCTTTGATTAAAGAATATTTATGTATTTTTAAAATTCTTTCAGACCACCTTTTGGACCCAGAGGACCTCCACCACCCCGATTTCGTGGCCCACCACCTCCACCAATGATGAGAGGACCGCCACCACCACCACATATGAGAGGTGGACCAGGCATGATGAGACGACCACCACCACCAGGTTACAGAGGTCCACCTCCACCACCTTTTGATCCTAATTTTCCTCCTCCCCATATGCCACCACCAGGAATGCCCCCACCACCAGGTATTCCACCACCACCAGGAATGGCTCCACCTGGTATGCATCCTCCTCCTCCAGGAATGGTATGTTTGACATATATCATTTGTTCAATATATTTTATGTAATAATATCAGTAAATCTTTAATTAAAAGACACTAGCTATGATAAAATAGTTTATTCATACTACTTCCATTAAATGAGTTTAAATATATTACATTATATAATACATTCTACCAGGGTTT